ATAAACCTAATTGAGAATCACCATCAGTACAAGCTTCATTCATTGTATGAGCTAAATACAACTGCAATATGAACTGAGAAATGAAAAAAAGAAAAACTTTGGACTTGAAATTTCTTGAGAGTCGATGTGGTCTTCTTTTGCAACTTGAACTGTGATGAAATCTTTATAGGATCTAAGAAGTCGTCCAAAATAGTGAAGCCAATGGATTCAATATATGTTGAAGTAGAGCGATGTCCATTCATATCTAATGTAGTATAATGAAATATCTTGGATTTACACTAAGCCTATACAATATCATGATGTTTCACATGACTAATGAAGTCTTATAAAGTTCTATTGACTCTTGTAGATCTAATGTGAGTATGTGGAAGTTTTTTGAACGTCTCAAATTTATGTGTACTTACACATTCACATTGATCACATGATACAAGACGGAATAGGAGACTTTGAGTAAAGGAAAATGTTCGAACAGAAGATTCTAAAGGTTGTAGATTTCGGTAGCAGATATTAATCTGTTAGGGTTCTAAGATAATAGACATTTGTTTGGACCGTTTTCTTTGTATTCGAAGAAAAAAATGGTTCTAGTATGGCAAAATAGAGCAGCCAATGCTATATACTTAGGCGAGTTCTCAGACACTGAACTGGTGCTGTGTCCTGCATCGTCGATTGACTTTGAGGAATGAAGAATAGAGAAAGAGATTATGACAGGACCAAGCGGGTTATAATATGGAAAGACCATGTAGGACCATTATGTGTGGCTGAAGTTTCATTGTGCTAAAATTTCATACTGGGAATATTCATAGATAGACAATATATACTGGATAATCAATCTAAATAATTACAATAGATGTTGCATTGATCTCTCTACAGCAAATATTCAGAATATTTGCCACAATGTTTGATATGAAGTTTCATCGATTTCATCAACTTTTGGAATATCTTGTCACGTTCAACAGGACTGGAGCGATGCATATGCTCAATTATTGTACTAGTGAATTTAGGTTTTTCTGAATAGATGTTTTATCTATCTCTACCACAGTGAAATGACTTAAAAAAACGAAAGATTATCACAACATGAATATAGAGGATGAATTACAAATTGACATTTTTCTTACTTTAAATCTTTAGCAAGATGAAATACAAGAATATATCTAATGAAGCCAGAGTTCAATTATTTCTCTTATTTGAACATTGATTAGACACTAAGTTGTGTATGTTTGATATTGTTTAAAAGAAAAAATGAATTATGTATCTTGCAACAATGATTCTTCGTTTATTCAGGAACATCTTATATGATACTAGCAATTTGAAATTATTTGAAAATTATGTGATCATTGCTTTCTTAATATGCAATTTGTTCCATGCTTCTATGGTGCTTTTAATTATACGTATAATGGAATTCGTTTATATTGTCCTTTTTAAAATTCTTATTTTACACATGATAATTTGTTCGTTCTTGTGGAGTAAAATGATAAGTATGCCGTACCCTTTCCATAAACTAGGAATTTTTTCTTACTAAACAAACATTTATATATATATATATTTATGTTTAAATGTGCTTCATGAATGAAGGATTTATTTCATATGCAAGAAAGTTCAGTAATAAATATGTATTTCTTTGGTGATAAAGATTTTGAGTTTGTTATCAATTTATTAACTTGTTGATACTTGAAGAAAACAGACTATCAACAATGCTTTATCGCAACCCGATTGAATCATACATTGAGCATGAAGACAATATAATTTCATTCAAGTAATATATGAAATCTATTTTTCAATAAAAAAAAAGTAAAGATCATCAAAATAGGTCAGAAAAAAAAAAGTTTGAAGAATATTATAAATCATTCACTTTTCCTTTCCTCCTGGTTGTGGTATTACATAGACAACTTATGAATTGTATATCCTATACTAAACTTTATTTGCAAGAAAAACACGCGTACAGACGTTATAGTACAATTAGAAACTATAAAAAGTTCCCGCTACAGGTTTCCTGCGTGACGTATCGAACTTGAGAAACTTCGTCATCGCAACGACGTAAGACAATAGTTATTCATCGAACTATCATGTAATCTGTATATTAATCTATAAAAATGAAAATAAAATATATCTGAATACAGATATTTTTTGTAAAAATCAATGTTGTAGTGATTCCGTATATTAGAAAGTTCTTACCTGAGTTTTGTTTTCATCTCAGAAATTTTTGAATAGATTGTTTGCATATGTATATGGAGCAATAAGTGTAAACAAACCTCGTACTCTTGTCTTCTTTGCCATTTACGTTGTCTCTATTGTTTGAGATTTGGATTATTATTTGAGATAAACAAATGTGTAAAGAAAGCTGTTTTGTTTTTCAATCAAGATATTTTTCGTAGTGATGATGCTATGGCAGTAGGGGATGTTCGGTGGGAAGAAATCATCATGAAATATTTCCACGTGCCAGCCTCATGATTAAAATTTTATTACTCTGTGATGATCGTTTTAATCAACATTGTTTTTTACATTCTACATTCGTTTGTTCTACTCATAAGCGAGAATTTTATAAAGAATATCACTCATTATTCTATAGAAAATACTATTCTTGCATTTAACATCAGATATCAAAACCTGTTCGATTTTGATTAAAGTTTTTTGTATTATGTAAATACACTGTTACTTTCCATGTTTTGTATATTCTCTTCAAGGTTTGAGTATTTTTTAAATAATTTTATATGCATCATTCTTTTTCAGAAAAAAGGCTTTGAATGGATCATCCATATTACTTTCACCGATGATGATAATAGTGATAATTGATCCAGTGGTAGTTATGAAAAAACTCTATAAAATTCGTTACCAAACAGCAACTTTAGATGACAATAAAGAAGCATTCCTTTTTCCGTGTTTTTGTATATATGAATCGAAGAAGATATAAAAGTAAATATTTTAGTTTCATGAATCATGAAGCTTATTGAAAGTATTGATTGGTCTGCATATGTTCTGCAAGAATCATTAATTAATTCATATATAGGTGATTTTTACAAATTCATCGCAGTCTGTGTGCTGCATTTTGAACACTGAAAAATGAATCTAAATGGAATTCTTAGTCAGAAGAAGAATCAGAATTAACACACGCATAAAGAATATTCAAAAATTTATGAAACATATAGCTATTAATACAGTAACAGAATTTCTATTGCGAATCAGATGAAGGACAAGTTCTACTAGTATATCGAACGTTTTATACTTCTTAAATAGATCTTTTTTTGCTTTGTCTAAATCTTTCAAAGACTTCTGGACCAGTTAGGATTAGTAGAGGAATCTCTTTTGCTATAACAAATAAGAAAGAAAAAAATTGCGAAAAAGACAGTAGGGTCGATGGTACATATAAAATAGAGATTGTAAACAAGGTCATATATACAGTTTTGTATTGTGCAATTAGCTGTATTAAATGAGATATTGCTTGAAAAGATTCTGATAGGTTACTGTAGAGAGTGTTATCAATAATGACTTACGAAGTTCAGCAAGGAAAAAAAAGTTTGTTTCGAATTCATAGGTTTTTGATTTTGCTTGTTCATTTGCATCAAAAAGTGTAGGGTTCATCATTTTCTGGAGTGCGGTCATGCTTGATGTACTGAACGATCGTCTCGAAATGTATCTCTCAAAACTAGGGAAAGAAGAAAATCAAAAAATATTGCAAGATTCATTAAACCCCAGTGCTTCTATTAAATAAAAATAAAATAATGATTATTCAGCCAAATTGACTAAATACGGTCGGTAATGTGATAGATAACAAAACTGAATATCATAAATTTATAAAATTGCTGCAATTCTCAGTAAACATGAGATATAAAGATGAAGTCTCTTTTTATGTGCAAATAGATGCTTGCCATGTTTGCGCATAGTTTGTTCTCAATATAATTCTCTATCAAGGAAAAGATTACATGTTTATGAAGAATCATGGCATTCTCATTCTTTCTCTGTATTGTTATATCTTTCGAAGAGATTGTTTTCTCAAAAGCAGTTATCATTTAAAATGTTGAAAAATGAAATATAACTTACGAGGGAAAATGTCCCGAGATGCCAAATCGTTTTTCGATCGAGATAATTATAATTTAATGGACACTAATAACTAATAGAAAAGTCTTGAATGATTTGCCTTTTTTCAGTCTTTTGTTCTTGGTATATTGAAATTATACTCAATTTTTCAATCAGACATTGGGATGTGCCTAAGTTCACATAGAAATCGACTTTCGAGTTTCAACGTCAAGCTTTGCATAAACAATATTCTCAATCAAATTAATTGATCGTGTAGATTTTATTTTTTCTAGTATTTCCTTTCTGGAGATGTACATATATGAACAAAATTTGCTTTTAGATCTGAAAGAGTTTGGAATATGCCATATGCTAGGATAGGAGAGAATAGAAAACTTACAACTTTCTCACAGAACTAATCTCAGTGAGAACTTCGTTGATGCACAATTTGAAGTCGAAAATCAAAAGTCGATCTACCAGGTGACCTGAGAGGGATGCATTCTATTTAAGTAGACTTTTCTATTATGCACTTGCATTCATCCAATGAACACCATCTCGGTCAAAAAATGATTTATCATTTGGAAAGGTTCTATCGTTAAGAATTTCCTAGCAAAATAATTATTATATCAGTTACTTCGTATACTATTGTTAGATCAACGGTTTTATAGATACTTTTTTAGAAACGAAAATTGAAACCGTTGTTTTTTCTTCTTTACAAATCGGAATCGTCGGTCTCTAATTTACATTAATATCTCTAGACTTTGCTATTTCTTTTATCAAAAATTCGATAAATTTGAATAGAAAAAGTATATCTTATAACTCTACTAAAAGATGATGACCATTTCGATTTGAAAACGATTGACTGTTAGTGACAATGAGCAACAGAAAAGAACAGAAAAGAAAAGAAAATCATTATAAAGGCTTTTGCCTAGCAACTACTGATAGAAATGGTGAACACGTCAATTTTTGAATCTACAAACATATAGAACGAGATGCCAAACGCACGACAAGAAGCCAGCCTTACACAAATTCGTCGATTGCTTTCTCGTTGGGATCAAGGTAAGATATTTCAATAATATGATTTTCTAATAGAATCCAATATTCGATACAGGTTCAACTAAAGTTCGTCGTCAAATTTTACTTGATTTTATTGAATTACATTCAACAATTACTGAACCTGAACTCGAAAGTGAATTTGCACAATCTGCTAGTCTATTTTTTACTCGAATTAGTAAGTCATTATTTATTAGTCATTGTTTATAATGATATTTCTATTTGATAAATTTAGCTTCATGGCTACGTATAAGTTATCTATTCGGAACATGTCTTAATGAACAATTACGAGCACTTCGTGTTTTTTTACAATCGTCAACTGGAAATAAATTTCTTGGTGAATTTCTCGACGTTGGTGGTTTATTTACACTTCTTGAAATACTCAATGTAAATCAAATTAAAGATGAAGATAAACAGCAAGCAGTATGTCTTAATAAAATGCAAGATGACACATAAATAGTTTTAAGATATAACATTTTTATATCTTCATTCTATTCCACTCTATGGGGTTCATTTTTTGCCGTGATACAGAAGACTTCACAGTTTTTTCCATAAAAATAAGTATCAGCATGAAAAACTAAAGAAATTATTGCTTTCCATTTATTGTCCGCAAGACAAGACAGATATCTTTATAGGAGATAAGAGAGAAAAAACAACTACTCATCATACTATGAAACACATAAATTGAATACTATTCGTCAAAGGACGAATGTATGCATACAAGAATTTATTAGGGCCAACTTAATGCATTATTGAAGTCAATGATGATGCTTCAAAGGAATATTTATACCTACTGTTTTTATGATAAAAAGAAACTCTGAAAGTCCCTCTATTACTGAAAAAAAATTAATACATAGAATAGAATAGAATGGAGATTTCTTAAGTTTTTGTCTTAAAGCTATTTATGGGTCACCCTGTAATTTGTTTTTTTTTTCGGAAGTCTTATTTTGAATTTTATATAGTTACAATTATTAAAATTAATAGCTGATAATGGTCGTATATATAAAGAATTAATTTGTCAATCATATGGCATTCGAGCTATAGCTGAATGCATGGCTAAGACAACAACAAATGAAAACACACAAAAATCAGCACAATTATTACTTGATTCATTAGCACATGGAAATCCTACATACACTCAACAAGTCTATAAAGGTCTCATTGCTATTTTACTATCAACGTCACCTAAGGCTCAAGAATTATCTGCTTCTCTATTATGTAAACTTCAACCACAATTAGAACAAGTTCATAGAAGTTTACTTGAACCAGTGGTTAATCTTCTTCAATCATTTCATGCTGAAGTTCAATATCAAGCTATTGAACTTATACAAATTCTTATGTCCAATAAATGGAATGATGATAATATTGTATCAGCATTAGCTGAACAATTAATTGCATGTTTAAAAGATCCACCAAATCAAGATAGAACTGATGATGATGAAACTAATGATTTAATTGATTCACTTAAAGGTGGTCCAATGCCAGTTTATATTCAACAAGCAGCTGCATGTAAATGTATTCGTTTACTTGTCGATCAACATTATCGTTTTTTACGTTTAAATGTTGTTCATTTATTATTATGTGTTATGGGTAATGAAGCTTATCCTGAAAGTCAACGACAAGCATCGTTAACTCTTCATACTTTTGTTGAACGATATCCAATTGTTTATGAAAAAGTTTTAGATGCTCTTGGTGAACAATTATTTGATGCATTTCATCAAAATCCTGATGGATTTTATGCTCAAATAACTCCTATTCAAGCTGATGTTTGTCGATCAAATCTTATTCATATGACGTTTAATGGTGATAGTTCAGACTGAAGTAAAATAAAAATAATTTATTCATTTATTAAAATAAAAATAAATGATTTTAATTTAAAAAAAAAAGAAAAGGAACAGAAAAGTCAATGATTCAATAAGAACAAGGTTTATTGTTCGATTCAGTTAAAGTCAGTACTTGTTGCATTCCTCTATTAATATCTGATTGTGTGAATATACGATTAACTGGAAAACAAGAAATAATACCATTTGATAAATTAGTTATTTCAATCCATTCTAAAGAAAATTTTCTATTATTTGATGAAAATTCATAAAAAAATTCAATTTTTTGAAGTGAATTTAATTTAATCGGTGTTCGTATTTCAAATGTATCTATAGAATTATTTCGTCGAAATGCTTGTGTATTATCAATCGTTCGATCTATTTGAATACGTTCTGTATGATGCGATTTACCAAAAAGTTTAATAAATATATTGACTGTATCATTCGATATTAAATTTGTTGTATTTATTTTAATTCGTACAGTATAATATTGATAATTTATAGCATTTTGTTTATCATCACATGAAACATTTTGATAATTAGTCATTGAAAATTGAATTCTATCATCAGATACTTTGTCTAACCATTGATGAACAGAAAAACATTTTGTTTCATTTGTTTGAGGATTTTTTATTTCAACAAAATCACAAAACCATCTATAAAGAAAAGTTGTTAGCGCTATTCCTACAAGATTAATATGTGAAACACGAAGTAACTGCTTTTGCTAATCACAAAAAGATTACTTTATTCTATATATACTCTAGAGCAAATTTTTTCACCGTTCTGTTACTGAATTCTTCATAGATGCAATAAGGAAGTAGTTCATAAATTATAACGAGACATTATTGATATACCGTCTTTGATTGTTATATCAACAACATCACTCACAGTTTGTGACGCAAAGCAGAGTAGTATTGCTAAGATGTCTGCTACAGTCTATATTATTTCTATGGTTATATCTGTCATATCTGCGATGAGCTATTTCTCATGTGTATGTCATGGTCTGTGATATTTACATGGTACAATCTATTGTTGTAATCTCTAGGAGTATGGGTGCAATGATACCCTATATACTACTTTTAGATTATGTTTAACAAAATAAAAAACTAAAATATTTGTTTTTAATTACCCATCATTTTGTCCATCATGATATAAATCAAGTCGATCAATATCATTAATTTTAATATTTGATATTGTTACTTCAAATTTATCAGTGTGATGTCTTTGAAATGGTACTTTATGATTTTTAGAATTGTGAAGTCGTATAGAACTACTAATTTGTTTATTATTTTTATCATAAATATTTAAATAAACATTAGCATCACGTCCAAGTTTGCCTTGTAATGATTTATCGGCTGTTTTTGTACATACTTGAAAATTATGAGAACTACTATTTTCATATCGTTGATCTAATAATAACGAATTTGTAACAGATGCTTGAATATTTTCTTCACTATTGCTTGATTGTTCGTTATTGTCATCGTTCATTGGTAAAGATTGAATAAGTATCGAGTCCGATAATTGATTACATGGAATAGTAGATTGTTGATATAAAGTAACATGAGTTTTATGATCATTTTCACCTTTATCTAACCAACGTTGAATCGGAAAACAATAGATTTCCTAATAGAAGAAATACTTAACCGTGAATAATAAGAAAAAAAAAAAATAATAATAATTCACTTGATTATCATCATCGGTAATTGAGATCCATTCACCATACCAACCCTGATATTTATGAGCATCAAGTGAAAGTTTAACAGCTTTTAATATTGATAATGATTCAGATAATGTAATTTTGAATTCATCAATATTACCAGGTGCAAAATGATGACCTTCCATATCTTTTTTCTTCAATCGAATATCTTTCGATTTTTTATCATATAAATCGATCAATTGAAGATGTATAGGTGTTGTCGAACCAGCTGATGCATGATTACCTATATGATAGTAACATATTAAATATTTTCTTTTTTAGTAAAATTTCAATAACTTTGTTATTAAAGAATACCTGTTTTTATTTGAATAGTATAATTTCGAGATAATTTATCTGATTTAAGCTTTTTTGATGTTGATGTAAAACTACGATTTCTTTTAATTGCTTCTGTTTCTTCTTTACAAGATACATTAATTAATGGATTTTCAAGATGAATATTTGTTTGTTTTAAACCAGAATTTCGATCAAGCATTGTATTTATCGGAAAACAATAGGATGTATTAGTTTTATTGTCGAAAATATTGATATAATCAACTTGCCATCCATCATTTTTATGACCATCATGCCATAGATCAAGTTTAGAAATGTCATCAAATGGTTCGTTAGTATGAACAATAAAATAATCTAGAGAAATTCAAGATAAAATATACTCAGAATGAATGGAATATTCGTTTCTTTTTTCTAAGAACCGGTTTGATTTCGTTCAAATTTATTTTTATGTTTTGTTGAATATTTCAATTGAAATGCTTCAGATTTACGATCATTACTATCATAAAATCGAATAAATACAGGTGCATCAGTTCCAGCACCACCCAATCCCAAAAAACCAGTATGACCTTATAATATTACAAATAGAATTATGAAAGAAAAACACATAAAAATCTATTTACCTGTTTTAATTTCAACTTGAAATCTTCCTTGAGATTCTACACTAGGAAGCAAGTTTTGCTTGGTTTGATCATAGTTTTTATCATATAAGTTGATCATATTATTTTTTTTTAATTCATCACATATTCGATTATCTTTTTGTTTATCTACTATTATATGATTATCCTTCAATTCAACATATTTTTCATTTCTATAGTAAGAAAGGACGAACATTTAAAAAAACAACAACGACTAACATCCTTACAAATACTGTTCGATAATAAAGCAACTAACTTCATTTGTCTTTTGATCTGTTATTTGAATGTATTCTGGATACCATCTATTAAAAATAAAATAGAATAAACTTATTAAATAGAAAATAAAAGAATATATACCCATTGTTGATATCCTTGCCAACAGTCCATAATTCAATTTTATCGATACTGTTCAATTCATGCATTGATCCAACATCGAAATCATCTATAATATTAATGGAAAATCTAACAATGAGATTTTTTTTTTATGAAACCTACCTATTTTGCCACGAGCAAACTTATTTTTATGATCAATAGAATTTTTTAGTTCAATTGGTTCAGATACTTTGCCATCTTTATCATGAATTCGAATGAATACACTTGCATTAGTTCCCGTTGATGATAATGCCAAAAGACCTTTTTTTGCTGTTTTTGTTTGTATATGATATAGTGATTTAAATTCTTCTATTATATTTTTTATTGTTGAACTTTGAATAGATGTACTTAATAATAAACTTCGTCGTTTCATTGTATCAGGTAATTGTTCACAAGGAATAACTGTTGGAATATATTTTAAATAAATATCAGTCTTTCCATCTACTTCTCCTTTATCTAACCAACGTTGCAATGGAAAACAGTATGTTTCATTTTCATCATTATCAGTCACTGATATCCATTCACCGTACCTGAAAAAATTAGACTAAACATGTTTATACAGTAAATAGTCGGAAAAGTTTTGAACAAAGATATTTTTGTTCACTTTTGACTCATGAGAAAGTATTTCAGACAGATTAAAATCTAGAAATTATGACCAGAATTTTGTGTGCATAGGATTTTGTCTCAATTTTTATTCGAGAGTAATGAAATAATCTTTCAATCATCTACCGAAAAAATACCTTTGGGGAAACTTATAAGTCTATGTTTCCGGTGAACATGTTCGTTCAGTTTGGCCTGCTTAAAAATATTTTAGACGAGATAAAAGCCATAGACCGCAATCAGAATTTTTATATGGGTTTTGTAGTGTTTATTTTAACTCTAGAGTACTGAAGAACTTTTTGAAAGATCTAAAACATTATTTGTAATGATGAATCAACAGGATAAAATTTTGGTTCTCATTGATAGTTTTTCACTCGTCGAAAAAACTTTCAAATAGATCAAAACTGAACAAACATTCTGTCTAAAAACTTTATAATCACTCATTATTTAATGCTTTTTGTTTTATAATTTACCATCCTTGATATTTATCAGCAGTATGCGAAATTTCAATGGCGATCAATGTTTTCAACGGTTTATCGGATGTTATATGAAATTCATCTATTGAACCTGGTTGAAAATGATGGCCATCTTTATCTTTTTGTTTTAAACGAATTTTGTCAGATTTTTTATAATGATTGTCAAAAAGACGTATATAAATTGGTGTTGTCGAACCAGCTTCCACTTGAGAACCTTAACGGAGGAAATAATAAACTGATACAAATCATAATGTTTTTTTACCTGTCTTAGTTCGTATAGTAAAACTACGTTTTTGTTTGGTTTCTATACTATTTATATCAATCTTGGGTTCCATTTGTTTTTTAATTACTTCTTCACATGATACATTCAATATATAATTATTTAATATTAAATGTTCCGAATTGCTAAGCCATTTATCAGCTGGAAAACAATAACTATGTCCCGTAGTATTATCAAGAATATTGACGTATTCTACATTCCACTCATGGCCAAGGTCAGTTCCATTATGATATAACTCAAGTTTAGCAATACTATCAAGCGATTTTTTTATACCAATATCAAACGAATCTAAATTGTGAGAAACATAGGCTTCCTATGATAGTTTTTTTTTTTAGTTTGTTTGATATGAACCTGTTTTGTCCTTTCCAAATGGATTCAAATGTTTTGTTGAAGAATGTAAAGAAATTGGTTCAGATATGTGACCTGATTTATCATGAATTTGTAGATAGATATCTGCATTAGTACTGGTTGATGATAGACCTAAAATATAAACTCAATTTTAAGGTAATAATTTATGAAAATTTCTCAATAGAAAATTGAATACTGTTTCATGTTAACTTTGAAAATTTCCATTATAGCCTAATGATAAATGATGGTTCTCTCATGCTTACATTCATCAAACAAAGTAATTCTTAGTGCGATCAAAAGAACATTTCAGAAAATACATTTGTCTATTGATATCAATACATTTACCTGTCTTCATATCAATATGATAAGTTCTTTTGTAGACAATAGCAGATGAAGAATCGTTTGAAGAAGTTATGAATGAATTAATAGCTTCCATTTGACGTGTTCGAATAGTATCCATATCATCTTCTTGCTTTTGATATCTTTCACGACATGATATATTGTCTGTCTGCTTATCCAATAAAAGATGATTAATAGCTACACCACCATTTTCCTTGTTTAAATATTCACCGATTGGAAAACATGCTTGTTCACCTGTCCTATTATCTGTTACAATGACATAATCAGCATACCATCCATGTCCCAAACTTTTCCCATCTGTCCAAATTTCTAACTGATTAATACCATTGAGTCTTTTTGTGGAGCCTGTCAATATATATATATATACATGTTATAGTTTCTATTCATAATACTGAGAGAGAAAACTACATACCAATATCGAATTCATCTATATGATCACGTTCAAATTTATTTCTATGATCAATAGATGCTTTTAATTGAATTGGTTCTGATTTAATTCCATTACGATCAATAATTTGAATATATACATTAGTATTTGTACCTTTAAAAGAATGTAGTACTAATTGTATGAGACTTCTATGTACTAACGATACTCACCAATAGATGATAAACCAAGAAAACCTTTTTTTCCCGTCTTTGTTTCTACATCTATTTGATAAGATAATAAGTATATAAATAGATTTCAAATAGTATAGTTAGTTTACGATAGGTATTTTGAAACGGCGTAGGAGATATTTCCGATAACGACGATGATGTATGTGATTTTCGAATAATAGAGACTGAATGACGATCTGATTCCATTATTGTATTGGCTAACAAACTGCAGGGAACACCCGATAAATCAGTAAAATACACATCAGTTTTCTTATCATTTTCTGCTCTAGAAGAATAAATATATCGACTATCAAATTCTTTGAATAAATAATTGAATCAATATACTTGTCAAGCCATCGTTGTATTGGATAACAATAGGTTTTTCCATAATCATCATCTATGATTTCAACCCATTCACAGTACCTTCAAACAAAAATAACGATATCATTAACGAAAAAAAAAAACAATCTTACCATCCTTGATATTTATTAGCATTATGTTTAATACGAATACCAGTCAGCTGATTTGATAACGGTTGATAAGATGTTACTCGAAACTCATCGATAGCTATGATCAATTGACAAAGTAATCATAGATTATGAAGACTTTTTCTTTTTAAATAACTTACCACCAGGTTCAAAATTATGTTTATCATGATCGTGATTTTTCAAACGAATATCTTCTGAACTCTGTTGTTCATCATCGAATAATTGAATGTGAATGGGTGTTGTTGAACCTGCTTCTATTTGATTACCTTGTAAAGAAGAATTGATCAGTAGGCTCAAAAAAAAAAATACTATCTATGATTCAAAAATTTTACCTGTTTTTGTTCGAATAGTAAAGTTTCGTATAAATTTATCTTTTTTCTTCTTTGAACTAGTCATGTCTGTATTGATTCGATTTCTTTGTACTACTTGACTTTGGTTGGAACAAGATATATTGATTAATGGTGTTTCAAGTAGAATATGAGTTTGTTTTGAACCATAATTTTTATCAAGCATTTTATTGATAGAGAAACAATAAGATGTATTTGTTTGATTGTCAATAACTTGAATATATTCAAGTTGCCATCCATCGTTCTTATCATTTTCATGCCAAAGTTCGATTCGTGAAACACCTTCAAGCAATTCGTGGGTTCCAATATCAAATTGATCTAAGATGTAAATATAAAAGTAGTATGCATTTTAGTGAAAAATAAAATCTAATTTACGAAGCAGCATATTTTTTCTAGAGATATTTTATTGAAAACAAAAAAAAGAAAAATAATGGTGGATGTACATACAATAAAACTTTATATCTTACCAGTTTGGTTTCTTTCGAATTTGTTCGCATGTCTTATGGAATTTTGTAATTGAATTACTTCAGATATTTTATCATTAGTATCATGTATACGAATAAAAACAGGACTAAGAATAATATTTTGTTTTGCATTTAATTATAATCATCAAACTAAACTTACGCATAAGTTGCGGCAGAGCCAAGACTCAAAAAACCGACATGACCAGTTTTAGTTATAATTGAAAATGTATTCTTGTATTTGCTAGATAAACTAGAGAATTTCACATTAGACGATGAGATCTGTTCTTCTGATTCATTATCATTAACATTACTATCTTCGATTAACTCTTGACAAAATCGTTCATCCGTTACTCTACTCAATTTTAACGGATTATCTTCAATCCCACCATTCTTATGATTCAAATATTGATTGACAGGAAAGCATGCCATATCACCTATCTTATTATCAGTTACTTGGACATATTCAAGAAACCATCCATTATCCAAATCTTTTCCATCAGTCCATAATTCAATTTGATCAATCCCATTTAACTGTTTGATTGTTCCAATATCAAATTCATCAGTTCGACCGCGTTGAAATTTATTTTTATGATCAGTTGAATCATGCAATTGAAGATTTTCCGAAATATTACCATTTTTATCAATAACTCGTAAAAAAACTTTTGCATTCGTTCCTATATTCGGAACTTATCATATGCACATAAGAAATATCCAATTGATTCTTACCTGTTGATGAAAGACCTAGAAAACCTTTCTTTCCCGTTTTAGTTTTCACATGATATGTAGTTTTGAATGGTGTCTCGAGTATTTGAGCTGACGTCTGTGATGGAGGTGTTAAAGATGAAACAGTACTGACAAATACTTCTCGAGCAATTGTTATAGATCGATGATCTGATTCAGGCATTGTATCGAGTAATGAATCACACAGCACATCAGAAACATCAGTGAAATATATATCAGTTTGTTTATCATTTTCAGCTTTGTCAAGCCATCGTTGAATGGGATAACAATACGTTTGCATGTTATCTTCGTCTATAATTTCGATCCATTCAGCATACCTATGAAACAAATAATGAAAGAAATAAGCAGTATAGTATAGGCAATGAGTCGTCATCATGAAACAGAATAAATATATAAATTAAATACATCTTTTCTTTTTTTTACTCACCATCCTTGATATTTATCAGCATTATGTTTAACACGGATGCCTATTAGTTTATTAGAGAGTGGTTGAAAAGATGTTACATGAAATTCATCCACAGCATTCGGTTCAAAATTGTGTTTATCATGATCTTTGTGTTTAAGACGTATATCTTCAGATTTTTCACCTTGATTATCGAACAATTGAATATGAATAGGTGTTGTCGAACCAGCTTCTACTTGATTACCTATAAAAATTGTATGCGTTAAAAGTAAAAATTTTACACATGAAATAATACTGAAAATGATTTTCTCAACATGGTTTAAATTACCTGTTTTAGTTCTAATCGTAAAATTTCTTTCAATTTTATCATTATTCTGAGAACCAGTCATATTCATTGTTGTAGTATTATGTATTTTTTTCATTGCCTTTAGTTCATCCGAGCATGAAACATTTACTGATGGATATTGAAGTAAAACATGAGTTTTTTTTAAGCCAAAATTTTTATCAAGCATGGCATTGACAAAAAAACAGTAAGAATCTCCTGTTTTATTATCTATTACTTTAATATAATCCACTTGCCATCCATCATTTTTATCACTTTCATGCCATAATTCGACCTTCTTAACACCATCAAGATTTTTGAAAGTTCCCACATCGAACTCATCTATTATAACGAAAGATTCAATTATGTAAAAATAAAACACACTGATCAATATTATTTTACCAGTTTGATTTCTTTCAAATTTATTTTTATGTTTGAGCGAATGTTTAAGTTGAATTGGTTCAGACATTTTATCATCATTATCATGAATACGAATGAATACATTTACGTTTGTACCCGCTCCACTCAAACCAAAAAGACCAGTATGACCTAGATGTATGATTAAAATTTGTCTATCGATTATGATTGATAGAGCTGCTTATCAATAGAAAGTAAATGTAGTTAATGAAAACAAGATTAAAATGAGTTTAATATTTCATCAACGTTTCATACGTACTATGAAAAATATCTCTTTAGTGAATGTCATAAAAAACAGCAGCTTTCATGGTTTATTTTTTTGAGAGACTTTTCTATAAATTTTATTATACATCTTATCATTAAACGAAGAGAATTATATTGAGAGTAGGTGCATGGCTAAGAATGAGAGCAACAACGACACTTAGAATGGATGACCATATGAGGCTAGAGGCTGATATTTCAGAATTATGTTTTTCTTTTCATACAGTTGAAACCTATTGTGTACTATGAATAGATTAATTGAGATAGGTCTAATAAATCCCGAAACAATAAGTCACATTAGCTTCTCCATTTTACAGAGTTCCATCATCTTTTTTCTGTTATACCTGTTTTTGTTTCAATACGGTATGTTTGTGTAAATGATGCTGATGGACTTCCTGTGGCTACAGTTTCTTGAATTGTTGATTCATTCATATCAAATTTATGTTCACGACATGGTCGATTGTCTAATGTTTGTTTATCTAATATGAGATGTTTTTCTTCGACTCCACCATTCTGCTTGTTTAAATATTCACCAATAAAGAAACACGCTTCTTCACCTGTTTTATTATCAATTACAGCTACGTAGTCAGCAAACCATCCATGCTCAACATCAGTATCATCATGCCATAATTCGAGTTTATTAATGCCATCCAGTGATTGAATGGAACCTAATATTCAACGAGAATATTTAATCTAGTATTTAAATATAATATTTATTTTCTATTAACATACCAACATCGAATTCGTCTATTTGTCCTCGTTCAAATTTATTCTTATGATTAATAGATTGATGAAGTTCAATTGGTTCAGATACTTGTCCATTTTTGTCATGAATTCTCATATATACTTTCGCGTTTGTACCTTTTTATAGAACGAGTAAATAAATGAAATAAAAATGATGTTCTTCATTTGATGTATCTCTACCTGTCAAAGATAAGCCGAGAAAACCTTTTTTCCCAGTCTTTGTTTCAACATGATATGATCGTTTGAATGGTAAAAGTTGAGTATTTTTTATATCCATTTGATTAGATACTATTGAACAAGGTTCATTTACAGTAAATTCTGTTAGTACAACATGATTTGTTTTATCATTTGAATTTGAATCAAGCCATTTATTCTTTAAAAAGAAATCAATGAATTCGAAAACAAATCAATAGAACTTCTTAAACCTACCACCGGAAAACAATAAAGATGATTCATATCGATATCTTCTATTTGTAACCATTCAACATTCCATCCTTCATTTCTTTCACCCGTATACCATAAATGAATTTTTTGTAAATCTGATAAATTATTTAATGTACCAATATGAAATTCATCTATAGCATGTTTTTGAAATGGTATTTTATTTGTTACCGTTTGTTCAAGTAAAATATCTTCTGATTGACGATTTTGATCATCATACAAACGAATAAATACATGTGTATCAGTTCCTGATAATATTTTATTTCCTGTTCTTATTGTTAGTATGTATTTTTTAGTAAAATCAGGTTTATTTGATGCATGATAATATCGTTGAGGAATATACTGTATTTTATCAACATGAGAATGATGTCGATCTTGAATAACTACAGTATTAGCTAAATCATGCAATTCACGTTCGATTTTATCGCATGGATAATGTGAATGAATGGTAAGTACAATTTTAGTTGCATTATCAGATGATTTTCGTGACAAAATTCTATTAACACCAAAGCATTTAATATTATCGGTTTTTTTATTTTTTATTTCAATCCTATTTTAATAAATAGTTTTTTTAATAAACATGCTCTAAAAATATTTTCAATATTTACCATTCACAAAACCAATCAAAATTGGATATATTATCATGCCATAATTCAATTTTATCAATAGTATCATCCATCAAATGAATTGATCCAATTTCAAATTTATCTATTTTTCCTGCTCGAAATGGATTTGTATGATGTTTTAAATTGCTTAATACCATATCTTCTGTATGTTTCTTTTTATCATTATATATTTTCAAATAAATATTTGCATGAGTATCACTGTTATTTATTGATTGATTTAAACTTGTTTTAGTTCGAACAATATATTCAGTTTTATATTGATCATGTGAATGATGTTCATGATATTCATTTTCTTCACATGATTCATCTACAATAAAATTTTTTAACACAATATGTGCTTTTTTATCAGTTGCATTTAATTCAAGCCATCGGTTAACAGGAAAACTACAAATAAAATATCCAAATGATTTACAAAAAATAAGATAGAAAATAGATTTTCAAACCATTTTCGTTCTAATGTATTCATATTCATAATTTCGATCCATTTCAAATAAAGACTATCATGTTTTTTTCCTTTGTGAAATATTTCGATTCGATCTGGTGATATAATATATTGTGGTACATCTATTTCAAATACATCAATATGACCAGATTCAAATGGATTATTATGCGTCAAAGAATTATTTAATAATATATCGTCGGTAACGTTTTCATCTTGATGCATACGAATATAAACTTTCAAATATGTTTCACCCAAACCCAAAGAAAGAAGACCTTTGTGACCAACTATAAGATTCATGATAAATGCTGTACAGTATTTTGGTGTGAGATAAAGTCTCGTTAACTAACCTCTTGTTCGTACTTTAAATATAGTTTGATTCATATTAACGTTTGAACTAACAATATTTGTTATAGTACTACTGAAATTCGTCAACGATGTTTTTTGTTGTGTTATTGGTAATAATTGACTTTTTATGTGTGCAGTTTTCGATAAGATTGATATATCATCATCTTTGTTCTGATATGTAATAGCCTCTTTTGTTGACAATTTCTGGTATTCTGAATGAATATCAAGACATCGTCGATTATCATAATCAGTCAAAATAAGTTTTGTGTCACTGTCAATATATTCTAAATACATCGGTCAATAGTTCTATCAGAATAATCAATGATAAACTCACCTTTAATTTGAAAACAATATATTTGTCCATTACTTTGATCAGTTATTTCTAGTGTATCACAATGTAATCGTGTTCCTTTTTTTCCATCATGCCAAATTTCAACTTTTTTTAATGGACCAAGTTTAACAATTGTACCAATTTGAAATTGATCTGTTTGATTTGATCGAAACGGTCGTTCATGTAATCTAGATACTGTTAAAGGAATCGATTCAGATGATTGATGATAAATATCATATAATTTCACATAGACATTAGCTTTCATTAATGATTTGATTCCTAAAAATCCTTGATATCCGGTTTTCGTTCGAATATCGTATAATTTAGCATATTTTGATTTATCGTCTGTAATAGCAATTTGTGAATTAAATGTTTCTAAACCTTTATTTTCACTGTTAGTATCTAATTTGACTGAATTTATTATATCACGAATAGACTGTAAGTGATCGTTTGGTTGAATATTAGTAGTTTTTTTTCCTGTTCGATTTTTTTCTACATCGGAATATTTCGTATTGGCTTCTTGTTCATTTTTCTTTTCATAGATGCTATCCAGATGAACTTCAGTTAGTTCTAATGCATCACCAGGACTTGACGGTATATAATCGTCGACTGGAAAGCAAAATTTACTTTTTGTATTCAGATCAGTTAATTCAATCCATTTCAAAAAAATTCGTTCGTTCTTATCATTTTTAGATTGTGAATTGCCTATATCTGTTGCATGTAATTTAAGTTTTTGTATTCTTTCGCCTAATTTTCGTTGAGTTCTAACATGAAATATATTGATATTCTTGTTTTCGGATAGTTGATTTTGTGATTCTGATTTTTTTAAAATAATTTCTTCGCTTGCATGATGCATATCATCAAATATACGCAGTACAACCACATTCTCATAATTGTTTATTTTGTCAGCAGATGTTTTTGTACGAACAAGAAATTCACGAGTTGATACGATTGAAGAAGATTTAACTGAGGACGTAGAAGATAAGACAAAAGACGATGTCATCGAATTAATATTTCATTTATGTTAATATACTAGAATCGAAATGATGCAAAAGTAATACGTAAAAAATATTAATAATATCTTTACCGCGGTGGTTGTCATGTTTTCATAATGTAAAATAGAACAATAAAAAAGCAGAGTGAAAGTAAAAATTCATTCATATTTCTTACATATCCTCATATAACTCGTGTTTTAGCCTTATTCATGAATCGTATAATATTAAGAAGAAGTGGAGAAAAAAATCCTCGAAAGGTTAAACAAGGTTCTGATTTATATTGATTATGAAAAACTTGTCAGCTTCTTGATCAAGACTAACAGATTTCTAGATTCAAAAAATTATATTAGAAAATGATTTATGCAGTGAAAATATTTGTTCACTTATTAGATAAGGTTGTTTAAACATTTTTCTCAGATGTGAAAAACACAGTCATCGTCAGCTTTTCATATATCTTCCAAAACTACATAGTATAGGTATCATTATCAAAATCTTAATACCAAGAAAAATTTTAACTTTATCAATCTATTTTAATCTTAAGTGATTGCTTTATATTCTTTGAAAAGTACAGCTGATCATGTTACAGAACGCTCAGTATGCCAGCATCAATATTGATTTAGTAACTGGGAGTGTGTTTATAAACCAATTATTGAAGCATTTTACCTACACAGATTATTTTCTAGCAACATCAAAATATGTCCAATTGAGTAGCGTAGAAATCACTCTCTATTTTACCTTATAAAAATATGTTTTTTGATGACACATTAATGCGAAGAGATAGGAAACAAGCATTTTTTTTTAATCTTCGTATAGGGTTGTTTACGGCTGCCTGACAGTCACAATTAAAGCTAATAGCTGCTGATCAATGGCCATTAAAGGAAAATACTAGCTGTATATAAGTTTTGAGTTTTCTTCAACCACAAATTAGGAGTTGGCATGTTAATGTTTTTTTCTTCATAAGAAAACAAAGTTAAAGTTTGTTCTCCTGCGATTGATTGTCTGTTGCATTTTAAAGATCTATTTATTCTGACAAAATGCACTTTTTTCTTTAATACAAAAGAACGATAATATGTTTTAAAAGATCTCTCAACTCATCATATTACACAGGAGGCAACTTTCCTATAGCATATGATCATGACAATAAACAGTCTTTGTATTGTGTCTAACATATATATATATATGTAGATATTCTTATTCAATTTTGCATCAAAGAAACACAATACATACGCATTTGTTATGCAAAATGAAGTTCGCCTTATTAACCGATGCAAAATATATCAATGAATATATTCTCTAAGAGATCTAAAGGGTGAGCCAAAAGTCTTGGTCGCTCATAGAAAAATTGCTCGCTCTCTATTATTACAAATCCAAAAATGCTCAAAATTGGACCTGTAACCCCTTGTAGCTAGATGAATATTACCCTAAATTTTCAGATCTCTAGCTTTTATTATAGGGGAGATAATAGGTTCGTATGATAGAGAAGATTTTATTTTTCCATGTCCTAAAACCATAATAGTGAGAATTTACGGTGGACGCAATTCAAAATTTCATTCAATTGTTTTTTTCTCGTTTTTTATATATGCTTCGATAGAGCACAGGCAGCTGATTACGATAAATTGATTTTTAGCTTTTGAAAAAGCTTTTTCGGTGGGAAAAAGTTTAAAACTTCGAAATGAACCATTTTTCGTAAAGCACATCATTTTTCAAAATATGTGGCATTTTCTGTATCACTCCTTTTTTCAGCCTAGTAAAAAATTTCTTTTAAAATGCATAATGACTTTTTCAAAACCTAAACATCAATTTATTGTAATCAGCTGCTTGTGCTCTATCGAAGCATATATAAAAAACGAGAAAAAACAATTGACTGAAATTTTGAATTACGTCCACCGTAAATTCTCACTATTATGGTTTTAGGACATGGAAAAAAAATCTTCTCTATCATACGAACCTATTATCTCCCCTATAATAAAAGCTAGAGATCTGAAAATTTAGGGTAATATTCGCCTAGTTACAAGGGGTTACACGTCCAATTTTGAGCATTTTTGGATTTGTAATAATAGAGAGCGAGCAATTTTTCTATGAGCGATCAAGACTTTTGGCTCACCCTTTATACGAACTTGAAAACAAGGACAAAAATAGAAAAGAATACAAAGATTAGTCAAAGTCGAAGAACAGAAGTAATAGACACGCAATAATAATTTTGAAGATGTGAGACGATGAAAGGAATGATCAAAGAATACAGCATATTGGGAATCGAAGTGTATGCTATCAGAATGCAATGTAACAACTCGAAAGAGAGATGCAAGTACTTTATCACATTCGAAATAATTATAAACACATTCAAGGAAATTCTAACAAAACTATGACTTTGAGACGTTGCTAATTCAAAAGATTTTACATAAAAATTGAGATTATAGTTATTTATAAACTTTGTCTTGACAAAATGCATATAAGTTCATAATAGGAATGGGCCTTTAGTAATAAATGCTGAATTTATATGAATTTGAATAATTTCTCAACTTTTCAGTGTAACTGACTTGTTATGAAAAATGATTTGATTTAATTGAATTTTGGATTTTTTTCTTTTAACTAGTAGCTACGACTAAAAAATAATTATTGTTCCTATTTTCTTGTATTTAAAAATCTTTTAAATAATATAGGTCGTTCTTATTCAGTCGGATCCTCTCAAACAAACTTGAAATTCCCGACTGAATACATCGATTGAATCCCATCTAGCACTAATATCCACCATAATCCAAACGGACACAATGTCTTCCATTAATGTGTGACTATTGACTTCATTGAATTTCAACTGTGTTTATGTTGTCAGCAACCATTAATTTCGACTTTTCGAACCTACAGTATCTGACTTAATCTGGTAGCATCCGATATCAGTAAATTAATAGACTTTATCGCGTCAAATGACCGTTGAAAGAATATTTCGTGGTGAAATTCTTGGAATTTTCAGCATCGGAGCAAGTCAAACCATAAAAGAAATTTGATCACTTCAATTCATATTGTTCGTGGGTTTCTGATGATATAGATTCGGCTACAATCGTTCATATTCAGTGACTTTATGCAAACAAAGTATTGTGTAACTTATTGGGCTTTAATAACTAGTATCAAATTAATTGGATAAGAGTATACAGTCGAATTTTGAATTCATCAGGCTCAATACTATCAAGCAAAATCGACCCGGCACTTGACCAAATAACAATCGTTTTAGTTATAGCAACGGTTATCATATCCAGCTGAATGCTGACCGATTGGCGTCATTGGGTTCTCACGATGGTGCAAATGGTTCCACTATAGTTTCGTAGGTTAAAAATGAAGCTGCTTTATATTGTCCTAAAAAGCGTCTTATATCAACTGGGAACACAACTTATCAGGTGCATATCTTATGAAATACTCGATGTTTCAATGATTATTCGTTTATTCTTATTTTTCTAGATATTCTGTTAGCTGTTTGTTAGAATTTAGAGAAAAATAATTAGAAGAAATATTGATTTATTAGTCAAAACATGATCACATCAGAGATTTAGTCAACTGCATATACCAAAGCTCGATGAAAGTAGATTTATATCAGCTGCATTATTTCTCGATTTAATATTGTCATTGAATTTCTGCAATGTAATATCTAACATGATGAAATATTTCGTGAATCACACAAGCATTCATCATTGTTGAGTTGACAGAGAACTGTGGACTTTTTGTTATTTTTCATGTGCTCTGTAATTACGTCTTGTGACTTCAAATTGTAATGTTTTGATAACGGTTCTTATTTTTATTTGGTCGCTCTTATTAGATAAGATGATGAGAAAAGAAAAACTAAAAAAACATGGACAATAGTTTTTTTGTTGCAACACACAAACGTAGAACGCATACACGTAAGTGCAACAGAAGCAGAGTGGAGCAATACATGCAGACGATGTGTTATCACTAATTAGAGTTAAATGAAAAGTCGAATTAAGATGTACACCTACTTATTTATAGAAAAACAAACTGAATATGACTATCAGCTTTTGTAAACTATACATTTTTTATAAGTATGTCATATAGGAAAGAGTAATATGAAGAAATGTAAAAAAAATTACACAAGCAAATTATCGATTTTGAGAAAGCAGTAAATATATGGTATCTTCATTTTAAAAATCAATCTGTGTTATTTGAATAGAGTGTTTTCAGAACGTGGGTCTGTTATTATTGCTGAAAAGTCACGTACTTAAGCAGTTCATAATTTTTAGTCAAAATATTGGTCATCGCTGTCAAGACTTTCACTATAGGGCTAGTTATTCATTCGTAGAAACTAATGATAATTTCTTTCAAATACAGCCTATTTTGTTCATCAACTTTTTTCAATCATTTATATTATAAAGAAGGTGCGGTAATAAAGTGATGCATAATTGAGAAGAAAAAGAAAGACAATAAATAATGAATGCAAATATCGTATTCTACAATTAAAAAGTACACAAATATGCTATCACATTAACCTTGCCGTTCTTTCTTTATTTAATTTTATCATGTAACGACTTTCCTTTGTATCTTCAGATGGTATTTAACTCCCTTCTTTTTTCTGGCTTTCTTCTGTGCTTGTTACCGATAATAAGCTGTCAATTTACTAAAGATCATTTGACAAAATTACAAGCATTAGAATGTGATGAACCATCTGTTACTCTGCATGTATTCTCTGGCACACGAAATCCAGTTTGGAAAATTAATATACATCAACTAATCAGAATTAAAATATTAGCTTATGAATCTTTGTATGAAAATAATAATCTTACATTATTAAGTAAGCCAACAACAAGAGTTATGGGTTATCAAGGATTCACTGTAAGTTGTTCTTCTGACAAATACGTTTTTGTTCATGGTATATCTCCACTTGAACATTTGTTATTGCTTGGTGGTCGTCGTTACCTTTCGGTATCAATTGTCCGTCATGTCAAAGATCATGTCGGAGAAATTATGTCCGATATTACTGATGTCGAGTCCAATAATGCTGATTGTAATCATGTGCCAATCAGAGGTCCTGATACGGTGCCTGAATATGATCCAAAGTCAGATGACAAAGGATGTTTTATAACAAGACAAGGAGACAACAATTGCTATGCTTACGGTAATAGTATTTAACGCGTGACTATAAAAATGACGTACAGTATTGTGATTATTGTATCTTATTTATCACACTTACTTTTATGAGATTTCTTAACATAAAAAAGGATTAATATATTTCAGTGTAGAATGAATGTAAACATATTGACGAATAGTTTCATTGTTTGCAAGTTATCACATGTCTTGATAGTATCTTTCTTTCTCTCTCTCAAGGTACTGACATCGTTACAAATACTTTTCCTCAACCAGGTAAATATCAAAACATGGTAAAATGGAACCATAAAAAACTAAGAATTATTTTTCTTCTATAGGTCGAGGAAGTGGAAAGAAGTGGTCATTCAATACGTGTGTAGATATGGGAAATGCATCTGTTCGTGATGGTTTAGTTTACAATGGCACAAAACTACCAAAAATTCCACCAGAAAATGGACACTTTGTTGCAATGCTTATTTGGCCAGACACAAACTTTCATTGGATAAGAATGGTTTGATAATGTCCATCTAGAAATATAAAATTTGATTTTTAAATGTTTTCTCTTTTTTTTTATAGGATGCAAATGGTTATTGGTCACATAAACCAGGAGGTAAGCATATAGGTTTCAAAAATAAAAATAGCAATAGTTTATTTTCTTATTTCTGTTCTCTAGGTACACCAGTTCGTAACAAGGATAACAGAGGTTTACCAATTGTTGATCCTTCCAAATCTGATTTCTCACCATGGACACAATTCTGTTCATATTTCATTGCACAACCATCCAAACTTCGAATTAACTAATTAGTTGGCGTAATTCGATTTCTGTTATCGCTTTCGCTATATATTGAACCAACTTTTTATGAATAAAAATTAATAAAATAATTTTGATTATCTAATGGTTCAGTCAAGAGTATTTCAGTTGAAGTGACTACATAATTCATGGAAATCATATCACGTATAGGAAATATACGACTGCTATACTGTGACATAAAGTCGTCATTGAAATCTATATTTGCTCTTCTGAGCAAATTTCAATCGAATATTTCTTTCAAAATATTGATATCAAATCACACAATAGTGTACATCATTGATTAAATTCATACCAAATCAATGGTGCTCAGATAAAATATGATAACAAACTATAAATCATCAAAAATAATGAACGCCACATATTTTATTATCAGATACATGTATTCGTAAAAAGAAATTATTAGAACTGTTGATTATGAAAATGACATACATATAAAATTTTTACTAAAATAGTTTATGGATTCATTGGATATATATTTCTCGGAATGTTAGTCAAAAAGCAGAATATGGATGTCGGTTTTCATTTTTCTTAATATTATGTAAAACTGATTCAAAGATGAATAAAATAGTTTTATTTCATTTAAAACAAAAAAGAAAACCATTGTCATCAACTACTTTTTATAAAGCATAGTAATAGCACTAAACTGAAGCATAGATAACATTATTGTGCCGCTTTTCTGAATCACATATAATTAGAAAAATATCTTTTATTTTTCTACAAATTACTTAAAGCTATGATTCATAGTTAGTAACATGATTATTTAGTAAAAAAAAACTGGTAGGATCCACTAAGATAAAACATAAGTTAATCAATGAGATACTATTCTTTATATTGTTGTTCAAATTTACTAATTTTTCCTTATTACTTTCAAGTAAAATCAATGTTGTATTTGAATTGACATAATGAACTAATGAATAAATGTAGTCCATGATAATCTAAAGCTTAAGCATCAAATTTTAAATTATGCTTCAGCTAGTAAATTAAATGCTTGTAGCACTTGCATCTAACTCGAAATAATGATTATAATCTGTAGGTAAAATATAGAATAAATTTCTATCACTATTAATTGACAGCATGGTGTGTCTTTGTAATTCCAATTATTTTTTTTTTATAAATATTCTACTAGGATTTAATATATAGTAGATATTAAAATTATTTAAGGAAATTTGTTTTTAACTTTTTTTTCGCTGTCGTAAGCGCTAAAAAGAATTCAAATAGAGAAAACTGTCTCCAAAACGAATAGATGGAAATAAAAATGATTATCTAGTTTTCAAAGACAGAGACTTTAGAAAACCAAAATGTTACGTTTTTAGCATCTTAAACTAGTAAATAGAATTTTATTTAGACTACATAGAACAGAGAAATTTCTACAAAATGATATATCTTCGAGTTCTTTACGATATTTTTTAGCTAAGATACAGCAATCTTACGAATACCAGTGAAGTCTTTTTTCTAATTTCCTATAGAAAAATTATTTTTTGCTCTTCAATCAAATTGCTTCAATCTCAGACAAATAACGTCACAGAATACTCTACAATGTCTCATATTGTTAATAGTGGTTTACTATATTGTTCTAGGCAATCTTCAGCAAAATTACACTTACACGTTCTAGGTACAGAACAATTAAGTTTTGGTTTTCTGGAGCCTCTATCTTTACGAATCTAATAATAATTATTATTATTTCCTTATACTCTTATTAGACACTATTTTGTTCATTTAAATGATTATATTGAATTCTTTCTAACGCTTAGTACAGTGAAAAAAATTGAAAACAAATCTTCTTGAATAATGTTGGTGCTCATGGTATTGCACAACGGATTGTTCTAATTCGACAAATATTACAACATAATGTTGAACCAAAAGAAAAGTATTCATAGAAATTTTTCATATTAAAATACGACATTTTACAATAAAAAATATCAACTTCAATTAAATTTTACAATAAAAATATCAACTTCAAATTAATTTTTTGTTAAATAAAAGTAATATAGATGCATCTATAATATGAGATGATTGAACATCTGTTTTTTTTTGGCCAATGCTCTTTCATAAAAATATGAATTTATTCCGATGAAGGTGTAACAGCTTTATCATTTTCAAACATTCCATTGTAACGATGTCCATCGGGAAATGTTTCAATGCCGTGTCCATGTTTTTTGCCTTCATACCATTGTCCTTCATATTGATATCCATTTGGAAATGTACATACACCATAACCATGTCGATAATCATTACGATATTCTCCTTCAATTTAATAATTATTTATTAATAAAATTGAAATAAAAACATGCTTTTATTTTTAGTCTTACCGACATATTGTCGACCGTCTGGCCATATAAAAGTTCCTTGACCATGTCTTTTATTTGTTTTAAATTGTCCTCGATATTTAGATCCATTTGGCCATGATTCTACTCCTTCACCATCCATTTGATTTTCATACCATTCTCCTATGTATGTTCGACCATTAGGCCATCGATAAATTCCTTGACCATGTTTTTGTCCTTGTTTATTCAATTCACCGTCGTATGGTGCTAAATATGATGTACCCAAACGAATTTTAACATGAGTCTTACGTCGAAGTGGTTCAATATTGGTACCCTCTAATCGAACAAATACGTTCTTATTTTTATCAAAATATGATAATGGTAAGATTTTAGTTGTTCCTGTACGATGAATAATAGCTTCCACTAATGCATCAAAAGTCGTTAAACGAATCGTAAATAAATGTGAAGTATTGTCAATAGAAATCTGGACCATGATGCGTTTGTTTTAGTTAGTAGTAGATTCAATGGAGTGATAAGAATGAAAAACAAAAAACGTCAACTAAACATATAAACTCTTAAATCGTGATAAGAAATTCTTTAATGTAAATGTAGTCAAGGATCATTTTTTTTTATTCTATTTATTTTTCAAATCTTTCAAAAAGAAGAACAGACCAAAAAGTATTATAATTAAAGACCAAATGAGTAGGACATTGTCAAATAGATTTTAAATAGAAAATGTAACATATCACAGTAGTAATCTCAATATAAATGAATCACATACCCTAGGCGAACATTTTTTTCTTCATGCACTTGACCTGCGCAGACCTCAAGTTTTGTCCATAGCGCATGACTTTCTTGATCAAGATTCTCAAGTATCTCCTGCGCACACCAAAAGAAGTTCGTCTAAGGTAAATTATATAGAATTACTACATTCATCTATTGGATGATAGAAAACCTTTACTGAATAGACATGTGGCTTCATATTTATTCAAAACTTTTAAGAACTTCTTTCACAGGTCAAATAAGCACGGTTATAAGCAGTCGTTTGACATTGTTTTTTTTCACTGTTTGATAAGCTTGGTATTACGACTGTATTTTATACAGTCAGAAAATCACTTTTCAGACCATTACCAACTGTATACAACACGATAAAGTACTTTTGTAATACGGTGCTTACCAAACATCAATTTTCAGATATTTACTGCAGGAAATGGTATGAAAAGATAGTATATTGCAGCAGTTTTGGCCGTCTCGACACCTATTTATATCGTCTTAGGTTTTTACTCGATTCAACAAATAATAGTATAGATATATATCGACATTCATTTAACGAAGCGTTTTTTTTCCCTGTGAACATATCGTTCTATTACTTCAAAGATCTCTTAATTCAGAAACAAACTATCATAGTTTGAATAGTTACGATAGTATTTTGATCCATTTACATCAATTCTAAGTTTATTCAAAAAAAAAAAATATTGGACTGCCTATTGAATTCATTTGAATCAATCGATTTCAATTCACGATAGTATTCGTTGTATTAACGATATTTTTTTTATTCTCTTTTTTTCTAATTTTGACAACTAATAATACGAAACAAATGTACTATATGATCAAATATTCCTATCGGACACCGCCAACAAATTGAGCTGAGAAAAACAAAAAAAAAAAGGAAAAAATATTAATCCAAGATAACATCTGTTTTCTTTTAACACATACAATTTACCTATATGACTGTTCGAAATGAAATACTGAAAGAAACAAATAAATGAACTATGAAGAAAGATATATCTAAAGATAGATATACACATATAACAACGAAAAAAAAATTGACATATTTTTCTTACATTATGAAAAACAAAAGAAAAAACAAGGATTAATTGTTTTCAAGAGAACAACAATAACAAAAAAGAAAAAGCACAGGTTTTTGAAAAAAAAATTCACACATACAATCTGACGAGAGATACATTTTTTGTTTTTTTTTTTTATTTTAGTTCGATTATGAAAACAGAAAGCAAAAATAATAACTCAAAAGAAAAACAAAATGATTGATATTAACTAGAAATTATATACAAATGTACTGATTGATTATTCAGACTTCTTTTTTTTCTTTTCTTTATTTAAAAATTTTGTTATGTGCAGGAATATGTGTATATCGTATTATCTAAAATAAACGATACCAACATATATAAAATAGAACGCTAACGAAAGCCTTATTGGAAATATTTAATCATGAATGTTTCAGTTATTTTTGTTTTTTCTATTCTAAAACGAGAACATCGAAGCTTGATGTAAGCAGAAACAATGTAAAAGATTCGCTATCATTATGACTGTATATTGGAATAGAGATAACGAAAATATCTGAAATTTTTACAACTCATAATTTCAATTAAGACTTGTTGCTATGCAAGGCTTCAAGCCCAAATTCTAAAATCAGTTTTCTTAGTATTCCTGAGGAATTTTATGCACATAGCCTCAAATTAACAACGATTAATCAGCTGGAAGACTTTCCTAGTCAGCATACCGAGTTATCATAAACACCACTATTTATGTGGGACAACATTGAAAGTTCATTACCGTCGTGAACCATTGGCATATAAGTACATGACTAAAAAGAATAAAAAAAAAAATGAATAATTGAATTAATATTTTATTAACAAAGAGAATAGTATTTATTTAAAGATGGAATGAAATACAGATACTTTGATGTACATAGTCATCTTTACTGATCAATGCGGCTAGTAAAAATTTAGAACTTTTCTCTAAAATATATAAAACATGACTGAAATTTATTTTGTTCAGTACGAGTTCAGAAAATGATAAATTGTCATATGAGATACGTTCGATGATGTTTCCTACAGTGTGAATTTATTTTTATAAAAGAAAATAAAACTATTTTTAAAGTATAATTCTACTATTTTACTACTGAGTTTCATGAAATCGTATTTTTGTTTTTAAAATACTCACTGGATAACTTGCTGCTGTCGAAAAATAATGATGCCAAATAGGACCAGATCCCGACGAACAATAAACTGGATGAGATGGTAAATTAAAATGAAAATATGGTTGTGATGCTGCATTATAATAATGATTTAAGGTTGTTCCATCTGGTTGAGATGGCATTGACATAGAAATCATTGGAAAAATATTTGTACTTGTTAATGAATTAAGATCATTGGTATGATCTATTTATACAATGAAGAACAAAAATAAACTATCGATAGTTAAATCTTAAATTTCAAAATAATACTTGATGAACTTGACATATCTGATGGTGTATCAATACTTGTTGATGATGATAAACATCGTTCGGTTTGAATGAATTGATGTTGTCTTTTAATAGCTGGATTAATTGATAATTTTCTATCCATAAAATACAGTGGTCCCTAAGAAACTTTGACTAATCGAAATATTATTTTTGATGAATAAAAAAAATTTACTCGATACTCAAGCGCATGCATTACTGAACGTTCTTTAGCAAATGTAATGAATGCATATCTATATAAATAAAATTTTTTGAAATTTCGAGAGGAAAAAAATAAAATACCCTTTTGTTACTCCATTTTCATCTTTAACAATTCGAGTTTCACGTACTAAACCGAAATTTGAAAAAAAATTTTCTAAATCCATTTCAGTGCACTAAACGAATAATTTTTTTTTTAAATCAATAATAGAAACGAAAAGTAGTATTTATACATTTGGTGGAAAACCAATAACAAATATTTTATTTCGCAAAATTCGACCTGTTTTCGGTACTTTATCATCTATTGATAATTTTGTTTCGAGTAAAGTTTGTAATTTTCTATTGTTTGTCATTACAGTACCATTATATAAATTTAACATTGCTTTACTTTTTTTTTTTTATTTTTTCAAAAGGTTTTTAAATAAAGAAATAATTGAATTCAGAACAAAATTTTATGAGATTACAAAAATATTGTTTAATTGAAACAAAGTAAAAATTTCAATTTTGACTCATCAGGATTGGCAGTACAAAGCGCCTATATACCTCCTCGATATTTAACAGTTATTTGAATTCTAGAAAAATATTTTTAAACAACAAAAAAAAAAAGTTGGATTTTTTTTGTATTAAAAAATATATTTATTCGATTTTCGAAATTTATTTTATGATTTTTTTATAGATGTCACTTTACAATATGAATTCATCAATTGACAATCCAATAATCGAGTTGAAACGTATATAGTTCTGTTTGATTTTGGTATACTGTCAGAGGGGTTAAAAGACGTTTCTTTCTTCCAATTAATAGCAGATGCACGTCTCACCAGTGACATCTATTTTTATTTTTTTCCCAAAGAATAAATCCGAAAGATTTTAATTTATTCTATACTAGAGTCAGACAAGGAACAACTCTGGTATATTTTTTTTACTAGCAAAAATACTTTTTGTTAATGAGCATCACTGAGAAGGTGGTTTCTCTAGTAACGAAAGGGGCCTGTTAAATAATGGATGACCTGCTCACGATATGGCTCGTTCGTGGTTGAACATTTGACTTGAGTTCATCCAGTTTTATGCATTGACAAATGGAAATCGTTTATATTTCTACTATGTTTCAAAAGTAATTTTGAAATATGCATCAGATATCAATTTATTATTAGAAAAAAAAAGAACTTTTAAACATCGAATTCCCACACAACAGAGGAGGAAATAAAGAAGAACATGCACTAAAAACTAAAAATATTACAATAAAAAATTTAATACAACAACGAGATAAAAAAAATAAAAGAAAAAAAATGAGTTAATGTATATATTTGGTTAATGTGACTTCGTTGATTTGACGTTATCTAAATTACATGAATATGTTAAGATGACAATATTAACAATAATTCATAATTAATATACTCACTTAAAGCCTCACTCGTTGTTACAGTGTTCAGGGAAGGCAGTACAGACATTGAGACACTCATAATAATCTCCAGTAGTGAATATTAATGAAGTGTGTTCAGCTAGGAGGAAAGACTGGACAGAACGAATAATCAATCAGTTAGATAGAGGGCGCTAAAGTCACATAGTAAATCACGTGTAAAATGGTTGTGAAAAATCTGCTAGTCATCCCACATAGTAAATTGAAATGTGAATGAAAAATGGGATCTCTCAACAAAAATTCATCCAATAAAATTCTTTGGGCCGAAAATGTATCCAAAATGCATCAGTGACTTGCGAATCTGCTATTAAAAGTATGAATCATTGGGGTCTGACAGCATACCAATTTGTTTTTTTTTAGATTTATCAAACGATTTCTCAATTTTGTTTAAATCAACAATGGTATTTTCCTAATCTTTTTTTTGAAAATAATTTATCATAATAAGTTCTTTTCTTATCGTTCTAGTCGGCTTTGTTCAACTTTCAAAGTTTACTTGTTGTCATTCTACTTTTAATATGTACATGTACTTATATACATGATTTCTATCCAAAATTACTCGATCGTTATAGAACAGGGTTGGTATAAGTCCGTAGTTGACATGAGTTTAGAATGTATGAATTCATTTTCAAAACATTCTCTTAGAAAAAATATTTATAATAGAAATAAAGTTATATAAACAAGATTAACTAATAGATTTAGACAAGAGTAAACAAAATAATGTCACATTAAATAAAAAATTATAACATTTTAGTTTTTTGTATTTAGTTTTCCTGTACTAATAAAAGAACAACCGATGGTGTTTATAATGTATTCATTTCTACTATCTTTTATTGACTGTTAATTAGAAATAAAGATCTTGTGAATGCTTGTTTCCGAATTTATGATAAGCTTCTATGTCTATTGTTTTAGTGTAGATAGGTTTTGATCACTTTTCTATATGATAAAGTTTAACGTTTATTTTGTTTCCATTTCGAGAATTTTAATGTACAGAGAAAAAAATGTAAATTGATGTATTATCGAAAACTTCAATCTAGAATTAAACAAGAATGATTATGCGTCATATACCATCAATTACACTGTTTAGACAATAAAATTTAACTTTCAATTTCATTCGTGCTTACAAACATTCACTATGTTCTAATATCAGAATTATAAGATGCATATGTATTACAATGTACAATTATTTTTAACATAATCTACATCAACCTCTGCTCGGATAGATATCGAATTCATACAAAAAAAAAAAACTTTTGGTTTGCTAATTAATAAATCTCAATAATCATTCAACATCTCTATTAAAATATTGCACAGATAAGACTTTTCGTACTCCATCCGAATAGAATTTATTTATACATACTGAATTCATGAATTGCATTAGGATAAAAAATCGTTGTTAGTTAAACAGAACGACCAATCAGCTATGTGATCAAGGATATCACTATTGAATAACAGCATTTAAAAAAAAAACATATTTTCAAATTTTTTTTTATAAATAACGCTGTTAAAAATGAATATAATATCGCCACAAATCGTGACTTTTCACATTTCGTAGCTCTACTGCCTGTACTCTAGTTTTTATGTTTCAGAAATTTTAAAAAAATTCGTTCTTGTAATATATCTATTCGATTAAATAATATAAAAATAATTAACTTATTATTAGAATAAAAATCTAAATACAAGTCTATTATTAAGTAATCTTCAATATACAATTAAATTATATTCCAAAAAAAAACCCAAGGTTCTTTTATTTTATAACAAGAAGAAACAAACTGCTTTCTATACTAGAAATTACCAAAAATGATTTTAACATCTTAAAAATACGAATTATGTCTGAAAGTGGTTAACAATTATTGGAAACCATTAGAAACTAGAGAAGTCATCAAAAATCAATGAAAATCTTCAGTAGTAATATAAATAGTAAAGCCAAGGTTTCCATTGCCTTCATTTTTAAGCGTTTCCGATGATTCTCATTGATTCATGATGAGCATGTAAAAATTGATTTTCAATCACCAGAAATCAAAAAAATCAGTTAGTTGCACCTTGATTTATGCATTCACAATTTTCTTTTATTATAGAATAATAAAACCGTATTCCAATCTCAATTAAATGCTGAACTTCACTGTCACATATACTTAATAGTTGTTGTATAATTTAGATTTCGTGGTACATTTTGGAAATTTGCTCGAATTGGTCAAAGAAAAAGTCAATACGTATCAATATTTTGTCTCGCAATGGCATTCAGTGTGCTTTTTTGGCAATAGACAAAATATTTTTATTTGATTGTTATTCATTTTATTGCTTCTTTATTTCCTTTTTTGTTGTGTTCGAACAATGTCTTATCTATATGTTTGAAAAACGTTTTAGATTAAAATGACATATCGATATAAACCAATTAATTTAATTCATTATTTACGTGATGAAACTTTGAAATGTAATCAATGGAATTCTAATCGATCGAAATATTTACAACATCGTTTTGATTTGTATAATAAATTATATTATCAAGATGGACATGCTCATTCTGGTTGTGTAAATGCACTTGATTTTTCTTCTGATGGTATTTTTCTTGCATCAGGTTAAATAAATTTATATCTATTTTAAATAAAAATTTAATTGAAACATTTTCAGGTGGTGATGATAAACGTGTAGTTATATGGAATATGGCTGAAACACTTTTTAATGAATCTAATCGATCACCAACATTATTAAAAGCAACACATTTAAGTAATATATTTTCAATTAAATTTGATAATCAAAATCGACGTATTATTTCAGCAGGTAAGTGAAAAACAATTTTTTTTTTTTAGTTGAAATTTTCTTCTTTATTTTTTGTTTTATTAAAAAAAAAGGAAATGATGAACAAATTCTAGTGCATGATATTGAAAAACAATATCAGTAAATAAATATTCTATGAAAATTTTCTTTAGTCTAGTCATTTTCTAATTTATAGAGGATTAAATATTGATCATGCAGATGAATTAGTCGATGTATTTCTTGAGTCATCACCAGTCAATTCTTTATCTGTACAACCACAACATAATGATGTATTTATAGCAGCAACCGAGGATGGTCATATACATTTATATGATTTACGTTCGGCTTCATCAGCAGCTGAACATGATCAACCATCAATTGTTGTTGCTGAATCATTCGATGGTTCATTTCATTCATGTACATTTCATCCACAACAAACATGTTTAGTTGCTACAGCCAATGCTCGACAAGGCATTGAATTATATGATACTCGACTATGTAAAAGGTAAATGATTTTTTTTTATTCAGAAAAGTTCTTAATCATGTATTTTACTCTTTGATTTTTATCAAAACTATAAAGAAAGACACAATTATTAATACAAAAAATTAGACCTAATCTTTTAACATACAATACAAAACTGTTTCGGAAATGAACTTCAATATAGATCACACTGTTTATTATGAAACGATTTGTATTGACTTTTTCTTTGCCATTTATTTATCGAGATCTAGTGTCTTTCATGTTAGTCTATCTTACTTACCTTGTAGATATATTTATAATGTTCTTACGAGGGAACATTCCCAAGTGATCCGCTTCGTTTTGATTCATTCATATTTCATTCGATAGAGTATATTGAGATAAGAAAAAGCCTAAAAGGATTCGGCCTCTTAGCCTATTGATGAAGAGTTATGGCCGTTTTATTGAAATTTCTCCTGTGACTCAGGCATTTCGAAAAAACCCAAAATGAAGAGTTTCGAGCTGAGATTTTGTCTATAGATAGATCTTATAGTCATTAGATAGTCCTGAAAGTTTCAACGAAAACGAACATGTCTTTCTTGAGATATTCAATTTTCAAAAAAACTGGATTATTGTGTCCTTCTATGATAGACAACTGTTTTTTTTTGGAAATTGAATATCTCAAGAAAGACATGTTCGTTTTCGTTGAAACTTTCAGGACTATCTAATGACTATAAAATCTATCTATAGGTAAAATTTCAGCTCAAAACTCTTCATTTTGGGTTTTTTCGAAATGCCTGACTCACAGGAGAAATTTCAGTAAAACGGCCATAACTCTTCATTAGTAGACTAAGAGCTCGAATCCTTTTAGGCTTTTTCTTATCTCAATATACTCTATCGAATGAAATATGAATGAATCGAAACGGAGCGGATCACTTGGGAATGTTCCCTCGTTAGTTTAAATAAATAAATATCTGATAATGAACGTTCGACTGATGAAATCATTTTCATATCGAGTAAAATCAAAAGAATTATTTTAAAATACGTTTATATATATATATCATAAATTATGTTTAAGCATGTCTATAAAAAGCTTGAAACGCACTTCCAATCAACTTTATTAAATAATAAAGATCTCAAACTTTATCATTGATGTTGTTATACTAACACATATAATTGATTTAAAATAATACAACATATATAAATGAAGAATATTTTTCTGTTATTTATTTATTAAGAGACGTATATTTGTTTTAGTACTTAACATGCGTATATAGTATCGATCATATATCATATAAAAAAATAAATAAATAATGTCACAGCTGATGACGGATGGTTATTAAGCATAATCGAAAGTCTTTTGACTCTTTCTAAGTATACATCTAAAGATAGTTTTTCAGACATAGGAACATATTTTAAGAAAAACATTATAACAATATCTACAATGCTAATTGGATAGATTGATATGAAAAAAAAAAACATCAAATCTTGATAAATAATTGACAAAGAAAAAGTTGATGTAAATCGTTTTATAATAAATGAAAATTATTTCTATATAATAATATATATAACTTCTATTGACTATAACGTAGTATTGATAGGAAAAACTTTCAATAACTCTAATTATTTCATACTTTAGTCCTGTACTTCGTTATGGTGCACCAATATCTTCATTACGTAAAATGTCAACTAATCATAGTGATGATGGTATTGAAGGAATGAGCGTTACATTTAATAATAATGGCAGTCTTCTATATGCTCTTCGACGTCGGTTACCTCCTGCACTTTTCAAACTTCATCAACCACGTGCATTTTGTCAATTTGATGCTGATAATTTTGTAAATTTGTGTACAATGAAAGCAGGTTGTTTTGTTGGTGATCATGATCAGGTATCTCTTCTTTTATTCAAAGTATTATTTAATTGTCTTTTAAAAGTATATTGCATCAGGTTCAGATGATTTTAATGTTTATATTTGGCGAATACCAAGTAATGATGATAGTGGTAAGTTTTCATGATTATGATATATAAAAATTAATTTCATTGCTGTTTTTTTATTCGTAAATTCTAATTTATTAGATACACTTCAATTTCAATCTTGTTCACATCTAAGTTCAAGTATTTTTTTGTTTTTGTTTTAATTCTTTAAATTAAAAATAAAGACAATTTTTTTTTTCTTCAAATGAATAGATAATTTTGTATGGAATGCTCATATGATTTTACATGGACATCGATCTGTTGTTAATCAAGTTCGATATTCATCACGTTTACATACACTTGTATCAAGTGGTGTCGAAAAAATCATCAAAGTATGATTTATTTTTATCATAGTCTATACTAAGAGAGCTAAAAAATAACTTGAAATATTTCTTTTTTTCGAATTGTATTGACCTATAAGAAAGAAGATCCTAATTAGTTTTTTTTTTATCATACCTTACTACAAAAATAGAACTTGTCTAGATTTTTCACGAATCAGAAGCGACCTGAGTAAACCAGACCAATAGTGTCTGTTGAAAATGCATACTGACATTGTTTTAACGAATTGATATGCTACTCTATCTATGAGTAGTGACATTTCACATATTCAACTTTCAACAAAGTTTCACTGCATATCCTCTATAAGATACTAAGAGCAAAAAATTTAATAAGACACACCAGTAATGACCAGTTTGAAACATGTCTTGATATCAGTTCCATGTCTGTCTTACTAGAATTTACCTTATGTATCGAGTTCGAACTCAAAAACAGTTTATCATTCGAAACACTTCTCTTGTAAATTCGCTATAATTACTATTATTTTTCAATAGTCACATCATGCATTTCGTTATTCGTTCGATTTGAATTTCATATTGGTTATCATTCAGATTTTCTTCTTTCGTATGAATGCAGGTCAGAGAAATAAAAACACTAGTAGAATATTTTATTCAATTAATATCACTGACCGTTATGTAAAATAAATCACACGTACAAAAACGTATTTAATAAATGTAAAGAATCTTGAAATTAGAATCATCTTCAAAACAAGAAAATTTGAACAATTCGATTATGTTTTGATATTTCTTTCATTATCAATTCGTTTTTTGATTTAATATAAAAATAACTATTGAATTATTAATTTAATGATTGTTGAGAATTTCAAGAATGTACATACTTGAATTTAGTCTAGATGTGGACGCCATATCGAACTCGTAATAATAATAATGATAACAATAGCAATATATTCAGTGGACGTCAAGAAATGTATTCACATCGAGATTATTTACGAGCTGTATTAGAATCAGGTAAGAAACTTTAGTTTAATATAGAATTACGTCATTATTCTAATTATTAAGGTTCTGTACATTATGATTCATCTATTGAACGATACGATGAAGATAAACGTATGTTGGCTTTTTTTGATTCACTTCTTCAACGAGAACTTGGAAGTGGTCATAATAATGATGATGATGATGATGATAATAGTGATGGTTAGATATTTCGTTTTCTATTTTATTACTTCGTTTATTTTATATTTATTTGAAATAGATGATAGTGATGATATATCCTTTAGTATTGATTCAAGTGATGATGATCAAACATCTACAATAAGTCAATCAGACGATGAAGATGAAGAAGAAATTACATTAGAAGAAATCAATAGTCAAACAGTAGATCTTACGTAAATATTCAAATAAATAATTCTTAATATAAACAAAAAAAAAAAATTTTCTTATTCTAGTGATACAACAACACATTCAACTAGTCTATCCGAAATGTCATCTTCTCGTTCTCGTCATCCTACAATAGTATCTTTAGCTAAAAACTATCGTATTCATTATGTTCAAATGATTAAAGAAAAAATAACAGGAACTACATCATCATCTCAATCAGAAAAACGTTCATTAGAATCACCAACAATGATGCCATGCAAACGTCACCGTTCATCATCAAATTATGCTAATACATTGCAGACATTGAGAAACAGAATTCAACGTGAAGAAAATGAACAATTTTATTTCAATGATGAAAGAAGAATGTGATGATGAAAAAAATTTCCGATGTAAAAAAAAAAAAGATGTGAACAAATAAAATTTGCCATAATGTAAAAGATGATAATTGTTTACAGAGTCACAATGAAAAAATATTTAACATCTTATCAGATTCATCTATTGCAACAGGTTAAAAAACTCATAGTTTGTTTATTTAAAATCGTTTAAAAATAAAATTCAAACCAATATTAGAAAAAAAAATTATTTCGATATGATCTCTTAAAACTGTTCATAAAAGAATTACATAATTTGATATGATCGAAGAACAAAAAATAAATAAATAAAAGAATTAATCGTATGATCATAGTTAATAGCTGTTAAGTTTATATCTACCGAGTATATATTCTTGAAATATAGCTCATCGAAAAAATGTTAACCATTTGAATAAAAACATGATTAATACAGTTATTTACTTGCGTTTTATATATTATGATTTGTGGTAGAACTATGAGTTATTCTGATATAACGATGTTGATAAAACGAATTAAGTAATTCGAGAAGTGAAATAGACTATAATTTTACATAAAACATGTTTGTTGAATTACCTTATGAATTCTTTTTTGTTATTGTCTTCTTCAATAGAGAACATATGATTTATGAAAATATATATTCATACTCATTTGAAATAGTAAATACAAGTATTCATCATCACGAAGAAAAGAATGAGATTGAAAAAAATAAGGTCTATATGATAATGAAATAGTCAACTGACAATTCAAATAATTTACCTTTTTTTCTGTCATAATATGTATGTTAGCATCTAAATAGAAATTAAGTCGAATGTTGAACTGAGCAAGTTAATATTACAACTTAAATCAGTTTATAAATCGATGCCAGATTCGAAATCTCTATAATGCATTGATAGATAACAATGATATTTCATTTAGTACGATCATTATTGAATCAATTAGTCATGAAGAATTTTATATATTAGAACTGCTTTTATGAGAAAATTCATGTAACTAGTCAAATCTTTACTTAATCTGTACATTGATGATTGCATTACCTGAAATACAACATAGCTGGTATTTTAGTTGTAAGTAAAATAGATGAAATGGTCAGTACTAAAATTACCATTAATTAATTGTAAAATGGTCAGTTTATTAACTGTAAGTACAATATTTCAAACGAATAGCCATACCTACTTCTCATAAATTAAATATCCAATGATTTTTGAATTGCTAAATGTTGCCCATCTTATTATTTATGTTTATTTAAATCGTCTCATGTAATCGATTATAAATTAAGAACTGTTACATGATACTTTTTCGAAGAACGGTTAGAAATACAAATGAACTTCTTTTTTTGATTTAGCTCATTGATGTGATAAACTCCATAATTCTAAAGATATTATTGATTCTGTAGCAAATATTCTTATATTAAGAAAGAATGAATCTCGTTTGTTTCATCAATTATTGATAATTTTGGAAGACATTGTCAAACCTTTTGGAAAAAACATAGCATTCTCGAAATGTTTCATCATCTTTAAGTGGTTTATTGATTATCGCTAGGGTGCTATTTGTACTTTTTTATTCTGTTTTATTTGCACTTATTTCATGATCTTCTTTCACCATCACTTCATCTGATATACCGCTTTTCATATTGAGAAACTTGTACTACTTCCATAGTTGCAAAAACATTAAAATTTGTAAATGCGAAATATATTATTTTTATTTGAAACACACTAAATATCTATAGAGAGGATAGATAAAGACAACATCCAGGAAAGAAGTCGAAAAAACTTTTTTTCCTTTCTTTCAAAAATTGCATAATAAGGAGGATTAAAACAACGATCGTTCTTCTTCAGAAAATATGTAGATTAACAGAAGTATATGACGAAGTTAAAAACATAAGTAGAACAGTTGAAGAGACACAGGAAAAGAAAAACAAAATTAAGTCATTATATAACCATTTCAATGTTTACATTGATTGTTTAATATAATCGACTGTTAATCAATTGTATTTACTGATTTTTAAAATTATTTACAAATTTAATTAAATCATAACTGACCATTTAAGTAATTTACTGATCATCCATTTACTGTATTGATCGTTTCATTTATTTTATAGATCAGAGATCATATTCCCAAATATAATTTTTCTCTCAATTTATCAAGAAGACTCCGAATCCGACATCGATCTACATACTGACTCGAGTTTTAAGATAATTTTTTCCATCTACTTCGACATTAGACATGATCAATGTGAGGGTCTAAGATTGGACGATAACATTGGTGCAAATGGATATGTTTAGAATGATTCGCCACGAACTTGTTTTATATGAATAAAAATAAATATAAAAATTCAATAAATGCAAAAGAATAGTAAGATATATGACAAGAATCATTTTAGTTAGAATTATTGAGTAACGTAAGCTTCTAGATGCTTACTTTCATATCATTTACCACGACAATCTTGTTATAACTAATTAAAACATAGGTTTCATTGTATGATGACTTCGAGATTGACGACGAAAGTAAATAAATTGTTCTTGCTTACATAAAATTATTAAACTAACAAAAGTAGCTATTAGAATTGATTGATGGGAATATGTAAGAGAAATTATTTGCAGATCAAATGACATCTTGAGAATACAGATATTATATTTAATAGTAAAATCAAATGAATGATAACAAGAAATCAGAAATTGAATGATACCAATAATTGAACCAATTATAAATGTCATTGACAAGGCGTCAAAGAAATTCCTTAATCGTAGCTTTTATTCTCAATTTTTCTTATTTAAACATATTTAAAACCGATTGGTTGATTAAATAAAATAACAAATTGAAATGAAAACTTTAAACTAGATATATAAAAATTCTTTCGAATCTGACACATTTTCGTTAAATATTTAGAAGGAACAAATGAAGTTTGTAACACTATTCCATTTAGAAATGATGATGATCGTTCGAAACTGATGATCATTTAACTAATAACAATAATTTTTTTCAAAGTAAAACAATTATAAATTTCTATTAACATGAATATATACAATACTTTGAAAATCTCTTTTCAATATTATCAAGAGTTAGGTTAAATATCGGTGTTTCTTTAAGATGCAAAGATTTTGTTGGGTGCAGTTATCCTTTTTCAAATTTTATGTGCATGTCAAAACGATGAGTTACTTTTAGCAACAATAAAAAATAAGGTCAAAAGAATTAATGAGTAAGTTTCTTTCAAATGAATAATATGCCTAGTGGTAAGTTTCATGATTTTAGTGTTTGTTATCTTTATACTAAATAATTGTGTTTAACAAGCTCATTTTACTGATTTACGCATTTAAT